GTATTGAATATTTTCCTTAGTATCGATATCGAGTTGAAAAGTTTAGTATCGTGACAACCCTAGTGCCTTCTAAGACAGACTGAGCTCTGCCATTTAACAAGGTGATAAAAAAAGTCTCAGCTTTTTTATTCTTTTTATTGAGATTTGAGGGCAGAGGAGGACAAATGGGACATCTTAAAGACTTACTTTGAGAGATTTTAGACGAAGAAAACAACAGTTATTCTGCTTGTAGAAAACTAATGGTTGTTCTTGATACAAATTCAAAAGTAGTGTAGCTTAATGTGGCTAACTGACCAAGCTAAAAGAGGCTAACCTGTTAGTAACTGAGGACAGCTAGCTACAGAGCTACCCAGCTCTCCCCCTTGCAGTTACTTTGTTCACCATAAACAGATTTTTTCAGCTTTGTTATCGATCAGGTAAAACTTCATTGGTCATATATTGCTACAGATGATCCAGACTCGTCACACGGATGCTGCGTGATGTTATTATCGTTATATAAACACTTATCATTTATTGAACGGTATGTAATAATTTCATACTTAAAAGTACTTTCGGAAGTTTAACTTCTGAATACGACCCACTAATTACCATTTCCAGGTCATGTAGCTTCCAAACACCTAATCATCAGTCCTCCGCCCCAGTGTTGCACAGTAGGTATGTAGTGTCTGTTGTTGTCCGAAGTGTTAAATGCAGCTTTGCAATGCTCAGTCACACCTTCTGTTCGTTTCTGACAGAAGCGAATGTGTGATGCAACCCTCCCAAAACAAGCCCTACTTGCTCAGAATGTTTCTGACTAAAACGCTGCCGTTTTGTATAAATTATGAGCACGCTGAAACATGCTGGAACACGTCAACATACGTTGAGAAATATAGAACACACCCAAAAATTTCCCAGCGTTTGCTCATACGTGAGCCATAAGTTACAGATAAGTTATCTGATGGTTGACGTACCTTAAGTGTAAGTTGCTTATAAGTCGTGCTGTCTAGCTTATCCAAAACCTATGAATAACTTGTGCATAACTTACGCGTCACTTCAAGAACTTCTGTCCAACGCATATCAATGTATCTGAACTGTTCCAGATGGCCGCTGAACGTGTTTCTAACTTCCAGCTACTGTATGATGATGCATTGGCAGGGTTTGGGTATAAAGGGGGTTCAAACCGTCAGCTCTCCTTCAGACTTCATCCCCATCATAGGATGAGCGGGAAAGTGAGCATGATGGATCCTCCCTGCTTCCTAGCAGACATGACGCCAAATCTGCTGCAACTGCAAACCTTCTTTCTTCCTTTTTATAAATTTTTTTGTGTTTTTGGGCAGGAGGTTAACAGCAGTAAAGACATCTTTTTGCTGGGTGCCTCCGTACGCCTGAGCAGCTTTAACTGATGCTTCGTAATGCCCATGAAATAATGTAGTGAGGCAGTCGTTGGACATAAGGTCTGGATTCGTAATGAATACGCTATTTATACGCACAGAATTGAAGAAAAATACAGAGAAAGTTCAGCGTATGGCAGCGTTTCAGAAGATTCTGGGATGTCGGGCATATGCTGGATATATCGTAAAAGTGTAACAGGGCCCTAATCAAAGATTTATTTTTTATTTTTTGTATTTGTTTTATCTGTCCTGAGATAAAGTTGAATTCTCATGGTGTTTCTCTGTACATTATTTCTATTCAACCTGTTTTAGCTCTACATTCTTCTTCTGTTCCATCCTGTCAGTTCTACCTCATGACAGCAGAGCGACATGGCTTTTTCATCTCGCTTTTCCTTCTGGGAAAAAAAGGGAAGTCTTACTCGGATATGTGATTGACACAATCTTTAAATGCATGACCTAACAGGAATTTTAAGCAAACAATAACATCTCTGCTTGTAAAGTCTTTCGTTTTGAAGAAGTTTTCACTTTTCTAATTTTATCATTTGCTGTGGACTTAACTGCTTTTAATCATAACGCCAACATGTTTGGATTGCATCACTTTGTTAAAGAAAGGACAGCACGTAAAGATGAAGGAACAATTTGCAGTGGTGGCATCTTTGCATGTTGAGTTTGGCTCCGTTTGTTAGCATTAGCTTCATGTAAGGAGAAGGTTTTGATTTGGTCTCCTTCTTCACATCAACACTTTTTAGATCAAAGAAGAGAACAAGGTGGGGAGCAAAAGTGTAAGTAAATACTTAAGTCCATTTTAAAACTTTCACCTGAAAAATACCTTCATTTGTTAAAGTAACTGTTAAATTTGTCTCAATACATTTTTTTTTTTATGTTTTACATACTCGGATCAATAAGTTAACTACATTAAAAAAGCTTTACTTATGATCATTAGTGTCATTAGGGTCTTAAAAGCATTTGGTTGGGTCAATGACTTCTCACATTACCAAACCAAATGTTCAGACTCAATAAATCCCTTATTTTGTTTCTGAAGTGATGATAATAATAAAACGATACACAGCTAAACCCAAAATGATTTAAACCTCTGACTGAGACCAGCTCTGTGGGCTTATGCAGGCTCAGCTTGAAGAATGGTAAATAGCCTCTAATTGCATTATACTTTATAAAATCTAAGGAACCCAAAGTGCTCAAAGTACAATCACTCAATTTACACATTTGCACCCTGGTGGTGGTAGTCTTTAGCCACAGCTCCCTGATAGTGCGTTCACACAGCAGACGTGTTTTGGGTGTCAAAGCATCTGATTTACTTGCAAAGTCTATGGTGGGTGTTGCCGAGAGCTCCAGCACCTTGTCAGAGTCTTATGGCATCCGAGCCTTCGACTTCAGAAATTTGAACTTTTGCCACTGGACGCCGGAATGTCAACCAATCAGAAAAGCGGATCCAGTTCTTTTGGGGTGACAGACTGTGGTGGGAAAAAAGTATTCAACTATTCACCCTAGTTAAATAAACGGAGATCGATGGATTTCACTCAGTCGGCACATTTATTCATATCTTTGCAAAGAGAGAACAGTCATCATACAGCCCTAAAGGCACAGCATTCTGCCCTGTTCTGCTAGAGCAGCGTTCGTTCCTCCTTACTTACAACAATGCAAAAGTAGTCAGAGTCAAAACAAATTACTGACACTTTGGTTAAACAGTAACATGTTATGAATAAACCTTGAGAAAGAATCTGGTTTGTTATGGGAAGAAGCTATGTCTGGTCTACAAACACCAGCCTGCAGAGAATTGTGTGGCCTTGAGAGAGAAACAGACTGAGTGAAAAATTTTATAGTGAGTAAATAGGAGAAATTAATATGTAATAGAAGAGAAATAAAAAATTTCCCACAACACAGACAAGTTGTTATTGCTTCTGCAGAGCTATCTGCATATGGAAAATAAATAAATATAAAGGGATTAAACTCCAAAGGTTTAAAAGAAAAAGTCGGGAGGTTGGATTATTATGTACAAGGAAAAATGAGCTGTCATAGAGGTAATGTTTCTCAGATGACGAACACAAAGAGGAAACATGTTTAAGCATTAACAGAATTTATTCCTGACATGTTTTACAAAATCACTCATACAAGCACAAATTGCAGAGGAAGATCTCACCCTCTGTTAGGCGCTTGTGTTCCAACCATTTCAGGGGGTAACCCACTGAAAGGCCGACAGCATCTGCTCACTTTTCCATTTTGTCTAAAAGTCCACCTGGAATTGTTTCTCCCAAACCCCCCAGCCCTTCTCACAGAACCCTGCATTACCATATAAGGAAGGGGTGTAAATCACACCCAACATGGCGATTTGATTCAGTATCGATTTCCTGATCAAACGATTTGTTTATTTTCGATACTCAAGAATACACCA